TGAGAAATAGACTAGGCAAAGTAGATTTATGCGTGCAGCATCAAACAAAAGAAAAAAAGTTGCGTTTTCAATGCAGAGATCCGTTTAAACTAAGAAAACACATTGTTCAGCTCCACCTATGGATGTAGAGGAAAATTTTTCCTAGCAAGGGCAGAGCCAAAATATTCGCTTAGAGTTTGTACCTTCTCAAATAGTAAAAATTGATTGCAACTAAATAATAAAAAATCTTTTTTTATATCATAAACATTAAAACTTCTTAAGTTTAATGTGTGAGAAGGATCATGACGGCAAGCGTCCCTTATCTACAAGACTGGTTGTGGTTTTGTACGTTTGAAACCACACAACATAACACATTTGTGAAGACAGCTCCCATTCCTCCCCCTTTTTGGCTTATTCGTCTAATATGGCATGTGAATGGAGGAAGAAAGATGCCCTGCATCGTGGGAGAATGTGACATTGTTTCAATTTGGTAAGATGTGAGATTGAGTGTCTGAACAATAGTATTCCACATACGAACCTATCATCTACATCACCTAGTTTATTTGGATGCACGTTTGAAAGTAGCTGGAATTGAGTTACATGAAGTTTTGCTTGATTGTAAGTATTTATAATTCATGCATTTAAAAAAAGAATAAAAGATCAAAATAGTCTCCCGACTATTAGTAAATGCACACTGATTTTTTTTTTTTTAAATGCACACTGATATGAATGCATAAAAAGTTGAAAGAATAATTTTTTAGCTATTTGGCTATGACTGATGTAAAATCAATGTGAATCTTTAAATTGGTTTGATTTTTAGTTGTTACTAATTGTTAAAAAATTCTATCTGTTTTTTACTTGCTAGCCAAACTTCTTTTTCTTTTGATAGTTCCTTCTATTTCTGTTATCTAACTTCTATGAAGCGGGATCGCAAAGATGTAACCCACTCTCTTATCTGTTGGATAATAGTTGTATATAAGCAACCAAGGTTTATAATTGCGAAAGTGGGTATTGAAATAATTTTCATTCGTGAAGCAAGGTGTAAGCTTCAAGGCGTTTTGAGGTGTAAGCCTCAAAGCTTGGGGGTGCATGAAGGCATAATTTGTTCAGGGTTTTAGGATCTAAGTAAGTTTTAATAAAAATATATATATAAATAGGGAAAGGAGAACGCCTTGCGCCAACAAGACGAGGCGTGCCTCAAGGATGGCCTCAGCCAAGTTGAGACACAAACCTCATAAAAAAAAGCTCGAGGCGTAAGCCTCAATGACTTTTTCACTGAAATAGCACTGAGGCGCCTCATATTATACAATTTCAAACAACGTATGCAACTTCAAATTAATCCCATAATGTAAAATAGAGAATAAAAATATTGAGCCATTTGCTATTCTCCAAAATAAACTTAAAAAAAAAAAAACAATTAATGTGCAATTAGAACATACATCTTACCGACCACTCCAAGTATAGTAGAACCAAGAAGAGATGAAAATATCATTTATTGATGACCGCATTGACTCTACTTCTACATTTAAGTACGTGAACTTCTCTTTCATCAAGTTGCTACTTTATAGTGCTCATGTTGAGCCTTCCAATTATGGCACACCACCACATCCCCATGTTTCATTTTGGTTCCCTCCCTTTTCTTAACCAGCAAAGAATGAATGTAGAACATGTGGATATGATTGTGAAACATAACTAGAAATTCAAGATCCACGTAAGCACTATAAAATGCAAACATGACGAAAGAGGAGTCCATGTATTTAGCATAGAAATAAAATCTACACTAGAAAGGTTCATGTATAAAAGTTTGATACAACTCCATGAAAGTTTATATAACATAAATAATATGAAGTATTAAAAGTCACAACTTTAGCCAACAAATATACAAACAGAATTCTAAAATGATATCAATAACAAATAACCAAATAAATTAAAAGTTGCATATTGATTACTACAGCATACTCATAGCTTTCTTCGGCTACGTATGCACGCATCTAGACATTGATTTTTCTACATTTGATAGAAAATTTTGAATCATGCCCGCATTCATAAGCAAATTGTCATATATAATATAGAACTCATATTCTGTAAATTCTAAATTTTTTTACAATTATATAAGTTCTGTAACACTTTTATCTTTTACAGTTCTAGCACAAATCTAATTTTCAATGGTATAAAAAACTTGAGCTAAACTATCAGCTATGGCAACAATATATTAACTTAATATTTGATTAGACTGCCGGTTTCTCTTCCATACTACAAAACCCTTAGAAGAAGATAATGATTCTCTCTTTATCATTGGTGTCAAAAAATTGACAACGTTGCCGTTCGCTTTCATAAAGAATCGTATTTGACTAATCAAGCATTTAATGAGAATCATCTATTTCCATTTCCATAAAATAAAATTAAATAATTGACCAAGCTAATCTATTACATTTATAATGGTGCTCTGAATTTTTAGAATTTTTCCAATCAACTATTGCATGCTTGCCCTTCTCCACAAATGTTTTCTAACTTCATATAATTTGCAATTGGAATGTTCAAGTAAGATCCAACTTTTGGAAAAGACTAAAAATATATAGAAAATATTAGCGTCAAAAGAAAAATATAACAATTGGCTTGTTCATAAAATTGTATATAATCATACTTAAATAAAGGAAACATATTCTTCTTGCCCCCATCAAAATCATCTATTTTTTATCATTCCATGAAACCTCTGACTTCTTTTTTAATCTTGAATATGATTACATACACTGCTCTAGTACTGTATTTGATTCTTACACTGCTCTTTAGTGCATGAACATCAAATTTTCTTTCATTTTTTCAGCTGCTCCTCGATACATTACATCTTCGAATCCCTCAGCATTTTTTAAATTAGCATTCACAATATTACAAATAATTTATAATAGAGCAGTGAGCCATTTTAGATTCACAATCTACCAATAGTTTTTCCCTTAGGTTTTTGAAATTGTTGCATAATCATCCTGTGAATATTTCATGCTATATAAAAAAGTTATGCAAAATCCAATGTAACCGAACATACGCCAATAGTGAAATAAAATATTAGGTAACAAGAAACATAAAAATTTAACAACTCTTTCTATATGCTAACACCTTAAAAAATTAATAGAAATGTATTCATCACATCACAATTAACATAAACTGATAAATCTTTCTATTTGCTGACACCTTTAAATAAAATAAAAATGAGTTCTTTACATCATAACAAACATAAACAAACTTACAGCTGTTTCTACAAATGATGCTTAAGGATTTCAGTGTTACATGAAAATGCCAAGAAGGGGTTGTGAGTAGATGGAGACACAAGTGTTAAATAATTAATGTGGAGCGAACATGCAGATCGACAAAGTTGAAGGCAAAGATAGTGTGTGATCGACAAAAAGGAGCTGAAGCCAGGAAATAGAGGGAGGCAACATAAGCAAGGAGAAGCAATGGGCACAATTAGGTTTCATCAACCACAATTCAGGGAGCAGATTGTGCTGTCATGATCGAAGAGGATCAACTAATCATAGCTAAATTAGGGTTTGTGTGAAGATGGCGACATTGTTAGTGAAGAGGAGATAGATGTTGTGGCAAATGTGAAAGGAGACTCATTCTTGTGCAGGAAGGAAAGTGAGTAAAATGGATGCATGAATCGCGATCTATGATGCACTGACACTTCTCTTCAAAGAGGCGTGCAGTGTCTGACACGACACTCATCCGACGCTCCTCCGACACATGTCGGACACGCCGAAAATGTGTCCGATTAATAAAAAATATTAAATACAAATTGGACACGGATGTTCGACACACGTATCATAAATATTTTATGAATTTTTTTAATATAATTTCTTATATTCAGCGACATTTAAACTAAATTTCTTATTTCCTAACGTCCGCACTTAATATCCATTCATCGAATATTCTCATTTTCATTTCTTTTTGGCAGTGAAGGTATTTTCATCTCCTATTTCGGTGACTGATAAACGACATCAACGCTTGACTCTCGACATCCTAATACTAATCATTTTGCACAAATTCTAGTTAAATGACTTATTATTTCTAAATTATTTTAAAATTATACTTATTTAATTTGTATACACTATTTTTAAAATATAAAAACTATAATACAATGTCCAACGCATGTCTGTGTCCTATATTTTCAATAATTGACGTGTCTCATGTTCGTGTCCTATCATATCCATGTCGCCGTGTCCGTGTATGTGCATCATAAATCGCGATTTAAGAAGTGAGGTGATATGCTATCAATAAAATAATAGAAGAGTATAAGACAGGGTATTAAGAAATCATTTGATTCTACTAACTTTTTATTACAAGGAAAAAAGAGTTTGAGGAATTAAAAATGCATTAGTAATTCACTTTGTATTTAGTATTCTTCATTCCAAACATAAAAAATATATCAAACCCCAGCAGTTTATTTATTTTACGCCCCTAATAATTGCAACCAAACATCCCCCTTTGTGCTTTAATTAATCATTAATATTTCATTAGCCTAATTAATAAATATATTCTAAACATTCAATATTTAATTAAATTGACTATATTGATGAAGTAATATGCTCATAAAAAAAATAATTATTACAAAAACTTAGTGAATTAAATTAATGAATTCTTCAATAGACTGATTTAATACTTACTCTACTAGAATAATTTATCATTTTGATTTTAATCATGAATAGGATTACTAAATCAATCAAGTAATTTAATGCAAATATCGATTTGCAAATAAATTAAATTAATTATTAATTTCATAATTAGATAATGTAAAAAATTGCATTTATTTATTTCTAACAATTTATTTGATCATCGATTAGCCTAACTAATCCACAAGTATTATATCAATCTATTAACTAACCATTCTATAATTTAATAAATAAGTTCATTATTCCATTCCTAAATTGGTAACTTATTAAGCAAAAAAATTTCTTGCAGCAGTAGCAAGTAATAACCACAAAGCCAACCCAGGAAGGACATTAATCCCAGAAAATATGTAGAACAATGAATTAACTTAAAAGAATCAAAAAGACAAATTTCATTAATGAATCAACACAAGATACTGGTTTAGCCATGTACAGGAAGATGTTTAGTGCAGGCTCGTGACAACTAAGAAAGAAAGTAAAACAAAGATTGATTTCTGAGGAGAATCCCCCTTCTGCTGAGAACGAGCAATCAAGTTGAAGTACCTTGATTCTGATCAGTAATCATTGTGGTGTGATCGCCATCTGTTGTTTTCTGTTTCTTTTTATGGGAGAATGTAAGTTCTTCGAGGCCATCCCACATTCGCTTTCTTCTTGAACTGGCAAAACTAACGTCTTTACTAGATGACATGGATGCAGATGTCATAATATCAGCGTTTTCATCACCATCAATATCTAGCAATCTACAGCCACTTAAAGCTTCCAATAACTTGTCTGCTGGAACATTGGGGGTATTTCGTAGACGATCTTTGAAATATTCCAACAAAACAAAAGCAAGAGCACGAAGCACCTTGAGATCAAACTTTTGCGTTAAACCCGTATGCCCTATATTCTTTGCTCGTGTGGTAGCCAGATCTTTCAAACTAATCAGAAAATCTAGTTCACATTCTGAGAGAGAGGCAAGCCACTCTATCTCTTCAGCACGAGTATGTTCTCCACACCCATCTTCATTAGCTGCTTCAGCGTTCTTTGATGGCGCCATTCTTTCGAAACTTAAGGACAAGCAGGCTCTTTGGGGCTGTTTGGTAACAGAATTTGGGCAGGATTTTACTTAAATCCTACCGAACAGACAACTTTAAAATCCGGCGGATTCTGAAAACCCGCTTCCCTGTTCACCTTAAATCCCTGATTTAATAAATCCGCGCAATGTGCCGATTCAACTTAAATCCACGCGTTTCACGAACTCCTCTTCTTCACAAGCCGCTGGCCCTGTCGAAAGCCTTTCCGGTGGACTTCCTCTCTCCTCTGTCGTCTAGGGTTTCGGCTGTAGCCGGTAGGAGCTGAAAGGCGCGAGGATTCTGGAGATTAGGCAAGTTTATCGAAGCAGTGGAGCTTATAACTGGAAAGTTTTTACACCCATTGCTCCCTTGTAAGCTTATTGAAATAGCTTTTTATAATAATTCTTGGTTATATTATTATCCTTTCAAACATTTTAAAAACTGACCTTATCTTATAGTCACTCATCTCAAACTCGTGATTTTTTTTTTGGAGACCTTTTGAGCGAATTAAGGCAATTTCACATACACTTTACATATGCAAGCTTCAAAATCAAAACCTCTTGGTTGGTAGTCAAAGATATGAACCAACAGATTAGGGTGAACTACGTCAAACTCATGAGTCATGCTTACTCTTTCAAATTCAATTTTTTATATGAAATTTATAGGAACCGACACTTTTTTATTATTTTATTAAGGATGCTTAGAGCCTTCATGGTACAAGAGATTCAATTTTCTCCTTTTGAAATAACCCTAAACAATATCAAAACTTTTAGAAAGTAAATATTTTGAGTTCTTCTTCCTACATTGCCAATACCATTTTCGATCTCAAGCATGAGCAACAAGTTATTATAATAGTTTAGAAAATCAACCACTTAATCATGATATCCTTCAACTTGCTCTTCACACTCTTTGATGCTATCATATGTGAGAATAAGTAGATCAAACAACATGCAAAATGTACTTGGCTTTCAAAGGAGAAGATGCATCAAGTCTTTGTATAAAAAATTATAAAATAGAAGGAGCCACAATACGATTACAGGGTTCTCTACTACTTTTGGTCAAGTTTGTACTTAAGATTAAATTGCTTTTGATATTAATTCACATAAGTTAGTAATTATTATGACTTAGGCTCTTTTCCTATTCTATATACTGTAATGAGTTAAATTATGTGGTCTCCAACTTGTATGATTGAATTGATTACAAATATGTGCTTTGTGAGAGTAATGTACTAATGTCATTTAGATTAAGGAGGATTAACACTTGAAGCTTATTTATATTAGATCAATATATGTTGTATATCTTATCTCATTTAATTGTACACATATATATATATATGAATTTAGTTTGTGCATCTAATTATTAAATTAATATATTTCATCATTATTTTTAATATGAGGGTTTGATTTGCCAAGATTTTAAAATATATCCATAGTATCCTATTCCACACCCAATTCACGCCCTCTTGGTGTACTTTTAATAAACATAAAAATTGTAATAGTGCCTGAAGCTTCGACATATTAACTGCTACAACCATAAGAAAATCTGAAGTCCTAACCCTAATGGGAAGTCTACATTGATTTTTATGTAGTTGTTGTATCTCAAAGTTTTTCCTGAGTTATAATTTTTAGGTGACAAATTTAGATTTGAAATGTTTTTGGAACTCTAGACATTAGTATTAAAAATTTTGGGCCCAAATAATATGGTTCATATGATCATTTGAATTGTTTATTCATGAAGATTAATACAAATTTTTTATATTGATACACCCACACATATGGGCTGATAATTTATGAATTTAGTATGAACTCATATGAACTTTATTTTCAATAAATTTATACTCAATAAAAATGTGATTCGAAAAGACAATTTCAACTTGATCAAAATCATGTTTAAATCCAAGTAAGTGTAAAGTAAACACACGTACACATACAAATTCTTAATGCCTTTGAAGGGGGTCATACATTCTCTAACTTTTATGTGTTTATAGTTAAAATGAACATCTTGACAATATAATTTTTATTTTTCACGGCACAATTCCAATTTTATTAAACTATTAAGATATCCAAAAAAATAATTAGGGGTAGATTGTTCAATGGAGTGCATATGATTCTTATAGATATGACTTCATTGTTGCCTCCACTAAATTATGAGTATGACTTATTCTTACACATTTGAGGAGAACTTTTTGGTGGAAAGAATTAATGAACTTAAGGAATTGTAAAGTTATGATGGTCATTTGGACCCATTGGTCACCTTTCTTGATTGCTTGGTTTCACTTTTGCTAAGAGGAAAACCAAGAAAACCACCTTCTAGCACCTAAATTTGGTATTTTCATTCACATCCATTGCAAACCAATGCTAATGACTATTTTATCTCATTTTTTAATGAGGGTGATTAAATCCTCATTTGTAGAACCTTAGTTTATAGGATTTTCTACCTTAATGTAGGGACTTCCTCGTAGGACCCATATAAGTGGATTTCTAATGACTTAGCATTGAATGACCATAGAAAACTTAAAATACTACCCTTGAGACTTTCAAATTAGTTAACTCGGCCTAGCCTATGAGATATCTAGGACACTTAAGAATCCATCTTAGACTTTTCTAAACCAATTTGAAATCATTTAACCTTAAAAAAGTAATAGGATTGAGTACAAATTCTAAAACCAAAATCTAAATAAATTTTTAGGTGACTCTATGGGTTTAATTGAGCCATCCAAATTTAAGTTAACCTTAGTCTTGCCTAAAAACACCCCATGATCCTAGGATACTACCTATTAACACTAAGTAGGCAATGAAACCCATTAGGTCAACCCTACATAAAACATACAAAATTGTAAAAAATACTAAGAAAGTTTTGCCCTATCCAAGTACTATGTAGCTCTTCTTTCGCCAATCCAAGCTAATCCATGACCCTTGGAATTGCCCTCGGAATTGCCCTAGGAACCCTTATGTTATAGCCACTATTCTAAAAACTAGTTGAGATAGTGTAAGAATTTTTGCACATTGTAATTGTTGGTAAAATTTCAAGTTATTTAATATTTAATAAGTTTTGAGAAGTCCGTGACTAAACTGAAGAAAGAATTAAATGCTTCTTAAAGAGCGCGACGACGCTTGGGGTGGAAGTGTTGTGGCGCCTCTGTCTCGGCTTAGGGAAGAAGTTGAACTAAGAGCTCATCAGTGCTGAAAAGGAGCACTGTGGTGTTTATCTCTCTATATGAGTGCATCTTGAATATTTAAAGGTGGTGTTGTGATAGTAGAACATGTGTCGTCATTATAGTGGAAGATGTGGTGTCACGGTGTTAGACCCAAAAAGGATCTTTTTATATATAAAATAATCAATGTTCACTATTCCATTCACCCCTCACCTCACCGAACTGTCCAAAAAGGAGAAGATAAGGAAGAGAGAGATTTAGATGCCCCAAAGTAAGATTTATCCGTCGAGCCAATTATAGAATCTATCGAGCATGAGGTAGACTCCCAATGCTCTATTTTTTATTTTAATTACGATATTTTTATGAGAAGTTATGAAATAAAATGTATTTATAGTGAGTATTTTAAATTTGTCACAATGTAATTTTTGATATATTATAGAATATTTTATTATGATCATTTTAACTATAATAAATTAATATATCACTGATTCATTTTATGTACACAAAATTTTGAATATTTTATAATGATGACATTTTTGGCATTAATTATAATTCATTAAAAGTTTTAAAATGATATTTTAAAGAAATTTATAAATGATTTTTTAAATGGTAAATGTTTAATGTGTAGGCCAATTATACATGCATCATCCTCTGAAACGTGGTACACATGTATTCATGTTCAATATTATGTATATTTATTAATTATATTAACCTTTGCATGTGCAAGCATGTTCGTGTGGTGAAAGTTATGTTGTGGGAGACTACTAAAGTGCATGCACGTTTTGTTATACAAGCTCAACTTTCTATTCTGTTATACTTCTGATTCTGACCTTGTCTACTTTATATGGATGTGGGAGGTTTTTTTTGCTACATCTATTTTATATGGATGTGGGAGTTTCAAGAGAATATAAGTAAAAGTGGAGTTATAAGAAAAATCAAGTTTGTTTCCTTCACCTAGTGAGGGTTGAGCTTGGCTGGTATAAGTGGAAGTGGAGTTATAAGTAGCGATAAGGACATGAATGTCATAATTTGTATGTTGCATGTTCTGTTAAATGAAATAAGTTTAAATACAAAGAATATTATGTTGATAAGTATATTGATCTTTATGCACAAGCATACTTTGATATTTCTATGAAAGTATAAGTGAAAATATGTATTCTGTTATAAAGTGTACTCTGCTATCTACAATTAAAATTTCAAAATAATATTATAAACAATCCCTAGTAATCTGGTTAAATTTTAAAATAATAAAAGTATGCTCTATTATTGAATTTGTTGTCTACCGATAAAGCATTTTTTTTTTGTATTTCTGATATTTGTTTATTTGCATTCCTTTTATTATAATGCAATTATAGATCCATTTATCTGCTTGAATAATTGTTACAACTCGAGCTCACGAGTTTATATTTTTGATGATAACAAATATTGCAGCTCACATCATATTTTCTACTTGTATTTGTAATATTTTTTTGTTTGTGTGTGTACTAACTTTTCAGGAATACCATGCACCATCCAAGAAATATTTAAGGCTCAAGATTGAATAGAATAAGTTATGATGTAACATTTTTTTTAATATTTATTGATGTATTTTTTATTTCTTGAGTCATGTCCTATAAGAGTGTATGTTAGCTTGGTGACCTTACACACACAAACTCAGGGGGAGTGAGATTGAGTATAAATAAGAAGTTCAATTTTTGAATTAATTATACTATACGATCAATTAGGGGTGTCAATTTTGGGTCACAGGTCGGGTTCAGGTCGAACCCGGACCCGGATTCAATCGGGTCGACCCTAACTCGACCCAAGTAGGCAAACAGGTCGAAAACTCAGACTCGACCCATCGGGTTGCCGGGTTGACCTGACCCGACACGGGACGTGAGCTCGGGCGCACAAGTAGGCAGACGCAGGGCGCACAGAAGATGCGCAGATGCGGGGGAGCACGCGGGCAGGGCGGGTGCGCGTCACTACGCGACAGGTTTGCGGCGAACGCAGGCGTGCGACGGGCGCACAACAAGCATGCAGTGAGCACGAGGGCAGGGCGCACGCGTGCGGGGCCGCGGGCTGTGCTGAAATGACTCGCGAGCGGGCAGCGGTAGCTGTTCTAAGCGGGTTTCCGGGTTGACCCGCCAACCCGTCGGGTCGAATCCGAAAAC